GTTGGAGCCAAACCAACCAGATTGAACCAATCTTGGCTCCTACCCACCTTTCTATGAATAGAGAAGGATGGGGTTTTGTTGAGGCCATTGTTTTAAAAGGTATACCTCAGGCATGCCTAGGCACATTTCAAGATTTGCACTTCAATGCAAGCACAATGACTTTAAAAAGGTGTGCACACCTAGGTCACCTTGTGCTTTGGCACAAGTTCATGCCTTTTTAAGTTTGCTTTTTTATTGCTTTTATATACATTATTATGTGTTCCACACTTTTGTAAGCTGAATTACCTTTTATTGGTGCTTTTGCACTAATAATAATCAATTTTAAAAGAAATAAAAAGACAAACACCTTTTGAATACCTAAAGCCCTAGTTGTTGCAGATAGGACCTCAAATAGCAAAGTTAGGAATTGGAGTTGTTCACTTGAGGAGTTAATCAAGAAGATCATGGGCACCATTCACTTTGGCTGGTGTCAACTGATCAATTCATTAATGTTTCTCATCATAGTTATTTTGATCCTACCACCTTGTTTTTATAATCATTGGCAGGGGAGTTACAATTGACATACACCTTTTGTATGGTATCTCACTGTACAGGATTATACATGTATACAGTGATATGATTTGAAAGAATGAATTAATATACCTTACATTTTTCTCAAAAATAATACAACTGATCTCTAATCCCTAATTATAAAACAGAATGAATTATGACCAAAAAACCCAACCCCCTTGTATATACAAGCTAAAAATTTGGGTTAGTGGCCTTCGAACTAGGGGTAACAATTTGTGTTCTCGTGTCGTGTTGAGGCAGGAACATTCGAATATATGGGTCGACAAGAATACAACACGATTAACTAATGATGTTAAATTTTCAAACACGAACATGACCTATTTATTACACATGTAACATGACACGACCCGCATAGCATGAATTAATATGATTAACCTATTTAATTATTTACTAAATGACACGTATTAACCTGAATTAATAAGAAATCAACATGATTAACCTGTTTAAATTAAACAATAAATAGGTTTTAATAATAAAATAAACGTTTAATAATTTATTAAATAAATTTATAAAAACCATTCAATGTCATACTTACCATAATAGTATTTCATCCAAGTATACATAACATGATCTAATACTTGAAACTTTTGGGTCATAAACAGGTCATTTTCAAGTTAAGTGGGTCAACTTGAAATTGACACGTTTATTTATTGTGTTAAATGGGTTGACACGATTTTGACACAAACATGATCAAGGTAAACCCAAACCCACTAACTTTGTCTTGTGTTCAAGTTGTGTTCACGTATCATGTCAAATATTGCTAGCCCTACTTCAAATGTCCGCATGGGCATGTTTGACTTGCTTGTTTGATAGCTCTTACAGAGATTAGAGCTATCAATGTAGATGTCCCAACCACCTAGCATTAGGCATACAATATCTCTAACATCACATTAGCCAGTAGCTACTTGGAGTAATGCAAACAGGAGATAAACAAACACGTAGAGAATTTTACATGCTTGAATTGTTGAGTGCTTAAAACACTTTATGGTGATGTACTTTTCTTTGCTTTTACTTTCACAGTTTCACTTTGAATTTGTTTTATATGTTCTACATATACATTTTGGTTTTAGTTAATAAGCTTTTTAAAGCATTTAATTTCTTCTAAAGTTCAGGTTTTTCATATTTTATTCACTAATGTTATTTATTTATTTTTGAATTAAAAAAAAAGAAAAACTTGTGCTTTGCTTTGTCCAACCATGCACTTTGCTTTGCACCTTGTGCCTCAAGTGCTTGAAGGTCCTTACACTTAAATGTATAGAAGCTATTGAGCTGGTTGCACCACCACTTCATCTCAACTAACCTGAAGCTGCTTAATGTCCAAAAAACCAACCCATATAAGCATGACTATGTGCATTACCCAATTAGCCTGCTCCATTGTCCATGATTAAAAATAGTATTGGTAGATTGCATTTTCTTTAGTTAAAAATTTTTAGGCAGGTTCTAACATACCCATGGATCACTCTGTTATTTTTCATGAGATTGTGGTTTCTAGTCTTAGATCAGCCACTTTCTACAGGTTAGATTTGTATCTGGTCCACTTCTCCTAGACCTCAAATTGCCATGACTGCATTGGGCAACAACCCATTTTAAGAATGTTTTTCAAGAAAGCATTGACAGAGCTCATTTCTTTAGTATGGTGACCAGTATCTATAAAATTCTGGTTTAAGTGCTGTCATTGAGATTGAAAGTGGTCCTCCCATCATTGATTAGCCAGTTCCAAGGGGCCTTCATTCAAGGTAGAGAGATCATTGATCAAATTTTGGTAGCCAATGAATGTGTAGAGGAAATGAAGAGGAAAAAGAGAGGCTTTGTGTGTAAATTGGATTTGGAAAAGCCTATGATTTGGTAGATTGGTCCTTCCTACTCGAGGTTTTGAGGAATTGTGGGTTTGGGGATAGATGGTGTGCATGGATTGAGGGTTGTTTACACACCATCAAACCTACCATTATTTGGTCATTGTTAATGGTACGATTAAAGATTTCTTCCCAACAAGCAGGGGCTTAAGGTAAGGAGACATAACTAAGATTACATCACTCCCCCTCAAGTTGGGGTGTAGATATCAATCATCCCCAACTTGTCACAAAGATTGTAGTGCTGCATGGAGTGTAATCCTTTCGTAAGAATGTCTGCAAGTTGTTCCTTAGAGCTGATGTAGGGAGTGCAAACTTCTCCTTTTTCCTATTTTTCCCTAATGAAGTGTTTGCCAACCTCTATATGTTTAGTTCTATCATGGAGAACATGATTCGCTGCAATGTTGATGGCTGCCTTATTGTCACAGTAGAGTGACATAGGGTCACTGAAAGGAAAGCCCAATTCACCCAAGAGATTATTTATCCATAGAAGTTCTGCCACACCATGAGACATGGCCCCGTATTCAACTTCTGCACTTGATTTGGCCACCACACTTTGTTTTTTACTCCTCCAAGTAACAAGATTTCCCCAAACAAAAGCACAATAGCCACTAGTGGATTTTTTGTCATCCACATAACCAACCCAATTTGCATTAGTGTAAACCTCAACTTTCATATGTCCACAAATAGGAGTCCAGTCCCAGGGAATTTTTTTTAAATATCTAAGAACTCTGTATGCTGCCTCCAAGTGTGTGGTCCTGGGAGCATGAATAAACTGACTAAGGACTCCCCCTACATACGCAATGTCAGGTATTGTCATAGATAGGTAGAGAAGTCTGCCTACCAATTTTTGATACTGCTTTGTGTTTGCTATGGGCTCATCACTGCAATCGCCAAGTCTATGGTTAACATCTATAGGAGTGTCAGCTGGTTTTGCTCCAAGCTTCCCTGTATCTTTCAAGAGATTTAGAATATATTTCCTCTGGGAGATGAAGATACCCTGATTTGAGCGGGCAACTTCAATTCCAGGGAAATAACGTAAAGGCCCCAAATCCTTCACTTCAAACTGAGTAGACAAGAATCTCTTCAATCTCTGTATCTCCGAGTCCCAATCACCGGTGATAATAATGTCATTGACATACACAATTAAAGCTGCCATTCTTCCTTGTTCTCCCTTCACAAAGAGTGTGTGATCAGACTGGCACTACTTAAAGCCCATTTGTTGAACTGCCTTGTAGAACCTACTGAACCAGGCCCTTGGAGACTGCTTTAAGCTATATAGAGATTTCTTCAGTCTGTAGACTTTCTGCTCATTTCCCTTAGCACAAAAACCTGGAGGTTGGGTCATGTACACTTCTTCTAAGTCACCATTCAAAAAGGCATTTTTAATGTCCAGATGATGAAGCTCCCAATCTAGATTTGCAGCTAAAGAAAGAAGGATTCGGATAGAATTCATCTTTGCTACAGGTGCAAAGGTTTCCGCATAATCAACTCCATATACTTGTGAAAAACCTTTTGCAACTAGCCGAACCTTGTGCCTTTCCACTGTGTCATCTACCTTATGTTTCACAGAGAATACCCATTTGCACCCCACAGGCTCCTTTCCCTCAAGAAGATCTACCAACTCCCACGTGCCATTTTTGTGAAGGGCATTGATCTCCTCCTTCATTGCATCTGTCCACTCAGGAATAAGTAAAGCTTCTACAACACTTTTGGGAAGGGAAACACTGTCAATAGTAGAGAGGAAAGCACGGAAAGAGGGTGAAACATTCTCATAGGATAAGGASTGAGCCATTGGGTGGTGAGTGGTGCATGATCTGACACCCTTCCTCTTAGCAATAGGAAGGTCCAGATCACAATTAGAAGTATCAATATCAATAGGTTTAGGGACATCAATTGGAACAATAGTACCTGGATGTGGTGACGGATTCAACCCCTGAGAGTCCGATGGCATAGGTTGCACAGCTTTAGGATGTTCTGTGTCTATTGAACTTTGTTGACCCCGACCTTGACTTTTGTACCGCTGTCTATGGAAGACCTGGAATGGAGGAGGGTCAGGAGGAGAAGGTACAAAACCTATCTCTGTTTCTCCTCACTTGGACTCTCCCCCTTAGGAGAAGCAAGGAAGAAAGACACATCTTCAAAGAAAGAAACATCCATGGATACAAAGTACTTTTGGAAATAGGGTCAAAGCAATGATAACCCTTTTGGGAAAGGGGGTAGCCAAGGAAAACACAAACAATGGCTTTGGGGTCTAGCTTCCCGCAGGTAGGAGACAAATCATGGACAAAACATTTACACCCAAAGACACACATAGGGATAGGAAACAATGGAGCAGTGGGGAAGATAAGTTGATGAGGGGATTTGTATTCCAAGAGACGAGATGACATTCCGATTGATAAGATAAGCCACAATCATAACAAAATCCACCCAAAATCTTTTGGGAACATTCATGTGTATCAGCAACCCTCGAATGACCTCTAAAAGATGATGGTTCTTTCTCTCTGCAACTCCATTCTGTTGAGGGGTTCTAGCACAAGAGCTACGGTGAAGAGAGCCACAAGTTTCGAAAAATTCCATGAGGTCACCATGAAAATACTCTCTGGCATTGTCTGATTGGAAAATTTTAATCTCTGCTGAAATTGTGTGTACACCATATGTTGGAAGGCTTTCACAAGTTTAGGAACTTCTTCTCGAGAGTGCATAGGGTACACCCACGTGTATTGAGAGAAGTTATCAATGAAAGATATGAATTTTCTATAGCCATTCTCCGTTGGAATATTTACAGGTCCCCAAACATCAGAATACACAATGGAAAAAGAAACATCTGATCTTTTATTACGTAAAGAAAATGAAGTTCTAGAATGTTTACTTAGCTGACACACTTGACACTGAAAATCATTAACTAACACAGATTTAAGCAATTCTGGAAATAAGTATTTTAAAGACTCAAAGGACATATGACCCAAACGATTGTGCCACAAGGTAATCTGACTTTTATTTGATTGACTCAAAGGCTCTGAGGCCGCAAGACCAACTTTATTCTCCAGAACATGGAGACCATTCACCATGTTCCCTTTACCAATCGTCCTCCCGGAGGCCAAATCTTGAAAGACACAAGATTGAGGAAAAAAGGTCACTGAGCAATTCAAAGAGTGTGTAATGCTACTAATAGAAAGCAGATTAATAGGTAATTTTGGAACATGTAAAACATTGGAGAGAGGTAAGCCGAATGGCAAAGATATAGATCCCCGACCAGCAATGGAGGAGAAGGATCCATCGGCTAGTCTCACTTTATCTTTGCTAGAAAGAAGGGTGTATGATTGAAAAAAGGTTGACTTACCAGTCATGTGCTTGGAAGCACTAGAATCAATAATCCATGGAGATTCAGAGGTATCAGTATACACATGGAATGTAGAAGCTAAGTTACTTGAGGTAGAAGCGAAGGAGGTTGAAGGAGTGGGTCCAGAATCTACTTGTGTGAGAGCCCTACTATTATTGTTCCAAATGGTCACACGGAAGGCAGAGATAATATTTTCCTTGAGATCAGACCTAGGGGGGCCATCTTGAGAGTTCAAAGTAATTCCTCCACTCTACGACTCATGAGAAGCCAAGTTAGCCGAAGTGAACCTCTTCTGATTTGGTTTCTTGTTTTGTTTTGGAGCTGATTTCTTATTTAGGTCTTGTGCCCACTTCGTCTTTCCATGTAATTCCCAACATGTCTCCTGTATGTGACGGGATTTCTGACAATGAATGCACCACAGTTTATCTTTATCATCAACCCTTTTCTGACCATCTCCCCTTTTGGCTGAATTAGTATTACTTCTTGCAGCTAAAACAATGGTCTCCCCCTCGGGGGGGTTCATGGCAGATTTTCTACTTTCCTCGGGCTAGACCAGAGCATACACCTCTTGGACAGAAGGAAGGTCCTTACTGCCCAAAATTTGAACTTGAATGGGTTCATACATAGGATAGGATTAAGCCCTAACAAAAAGGCAAACACCCGCTGCTGTGACACTAACTGTTTGTAAGCTTTGGCATCCTTTTCACTCTCCCAGTCAATGTTCTGATAGTAATCTAGCTCTTTCCAGATAGATGTAAGGGTAGAGTAGTAGGTGGATAAGCTTCTTTCCCCTTTTTTGCATGTTGCCGACTCAGCTTGCAATTGATAGATTCTGGCATAGTGTCTCTGCTCGGAGTAAGTTGACCTTGCTTGTTCCCAAATTTCCTTGGCTGTCTCAGCCCACATAAAATTCTGCTTAACCGATGGTAGCATAGTAGTCAAAAGCCATGACATAACCATGCAGTTTTCCTGGTCCCACTTATCATATTCAGCAGTACCGGTTCTAGGTTCCTTCACTTTTCCATTGATATACCCTGCCTTACCCCGGGCTGTGATGTACAGCCGCATCTCCTTAGACCATGTCAAATAATTTCTGCCATCTAAGGGAGTAATGGTTGTTGGAAAGTTCATAGAGTCAAGGCTGCTGTTCATTCCTCCCTGGTTAAAAGATGTTCCAGAAGTTGCAGTCTCTTTGGAGGCCATAACAGGGGCTGCAAGCAGAAGTTTCAGACTTACAACCCTCCTCACACACTCACAAACACACAGCCCCCACTGTAAGATTTAATGTGAAAAAAAAAGATCCACAGTAACTCAGCACCTGCTGTCACAGATTTTCAGGTCTAACTGACCTCACAAGGGATGCAGTGACAGTAACACAGCTCCTGCTGTCAAGAATTTACAGGTCTCTCCGACCTCACAAGGGCTAGTTTAAACCACACAAAACATCTATAATTCTGCTGGTGTATTTGTTCATCTGAACCAGGTCACACATGACCTACACAGGTTCTTTACCTACACAGTTTTGGATCACCGACCTATAGAGGTCATTGAACTCACCTACACCATTCGGCTAGGGCAGATTTTAGGATGTTCTTGGTAACAATACCAAGAGCCAGTGATAAAAGAGAACTTCAGTCAAGGTTCCTGATCAGTTCGACTAGTTTTGGAAGTTACAGTCAAGAGAAGAATGGGAGAAAAGAGGAAACACAGCCACCCTCAGTCAATCATCCACCAATCTGAGTTTGAATTTTCTTCTCAGTTTCTGTTTAAAAGTTAATAGAGTCCAGCAACAGTTCTCAGTGCAGGTCGAACCAGTTTCTCATTCTCAGTCCAGGTATGTGGTTTGAAAGATCTTCGATAAAAAAAAAAAAAAAAAACTTTTTTACAGAGTGCGGTCCTGCTCTGATACCATGTGAAGAAGAGAAGAGAGGAGGAGAAGAGAAGATGGAGATCGAAGCAACAGTCCTGGTGGCGCCAGTCTTTTTATTTAAATAATAGGGCGACCACATAAGAGAAAAAAAAAACTGAAAAGACATAAGTGCCCTTGCGGCACATAATTAAGATTACATCACTAAGCTAAAGATCAACTTCAAGAAGAGTTGTGTAGCTAGAGTAAACTCAAGTGGGGAAGAACTGAGTGCAATAATAGATTCTCTAGGTTGCCCTTCCTCTAAATGGCCAATGAAATACCTCAGTATCCTTTAGGAGACCACCCTCAAGAAAGTAGGTTTTGGGCACCTATAGTAGAAAAATGTGCTAAGAGGCTAGCAATGTGGAAAAGGAATTATATTTCTCTAGGAGGAAGGATAACTTTGACAAAATTCACTTTAACAAATTTTCTAGTCTACTACCTTTCAATCTTTTAGGATGCCATAGAGGGAGGTGTTGAAATTAGAGAAGGCTATGAGGGATTTGTTTATGAGATCTGGGGGAAGGGAGGAGAGATTATTTGATAAATTGAAAATTCGTGTGTAAAGGTAAAGAACAAGGAGGCTTGGGATTAGGTAATATAGGGAAGAAGATTTTTTTTTGAAGGTAAAGTGTTGTATTGCAAAAAGAAAGCCAAATACATCAGCCCATGTACAATTTTTTTAGAAGAGTAAAGTATAAATTGTATTAATATACAAGTATGGTCCTCTGTACAAGAAGATTCTGTACAAGAACAACCCTTAAGGACCCCAAAAAAATTTATATTCAAAACAGAAGAAGAAAGCTCGTTAGAATTGAACCATGTGAGACCCTATACATTGAGAATTTACAAAAGGATCTGAGAATCAGTTAAAAAAGGGTCCAGCTTGCAAAAAAGTTAAAGGCAG